CCCTGCGCCACGATCTATCCTTCCCCCTCTCTCTACCTCTATACCGTTTAATCCTACCCTTTTAATCCCTCTATACTCTCAACCCTCGTGAGCTACTGTTGACGTGTCGCACTATGCTCAAGACAGATACGGGGCTCACTTTTATCTTCTTTTTTCTCGTAAGAATCCTATAAGAATTGAAATAATAAGTAAGCAGATGATTTAATAATTGAAGACTGCTATTGGACTCGAAGCAGAAAGGAATCAGCACCTCGCGGCGAATCAAAGAAACTCCGAAATGTGGACATTGGTGGCCCTCAAACACACTTACAGCAGAGTTCCTTGTGGTTGTTTGTGATTGAACCACTTTATCTTCAGTGGGTGTTGTGTTTGTAGTTTTAGTATCGGCCATGGTGCATAATGGGGGCAATATGATTGACGTCTACAGCAAACTGTGTTTTTTGTTTTTGCAGTGTTAGCCTTTTTAGAAGCGATGCGAAAGGCAAATAATAGTTTAAACTGCACCTACTGTCCACTTGTCACCTATCAACGCGTGTTGCGGCTAGCAAGCGTACTTTTAGGTTTTAATATCCTTGATTCTGTGCACGATGCGAAACTTGTTTTCTAGTCTTGAGGGCGGAGGAAAACTGCTCAATAAGTTCATCAATGTAACTGATTATAAAGCATAGAATAATTCAAATACTCATGTCCTACCATTTACTACTTTTATATCCAGCTTTTCAGACGTGGCTGGTCACAGCGCGTGATATATCAACGTGAGCATATTACCATAAGCATTGGCGATAAACTCACTAGGGGATGTTTCAAAATTTCTTATATGTTCGATCAGTTTCTAACTCTGTACTTTTTTTGCTACCTATGAAGTCGCGCACATGATGGATGAGTCGCGGTACTACTATCGATACTGGTACATGGAGAACGCCACTTGTTACTCTGTTGGCGTGGCAGAAAAGACAAAAATCTCAATTTGGCTGGTTTATAATGTTTTCAGTCAATGCGAACACACATTTTCTTCACTGCGAGGGTGATTATCAAGGAAGTAAATTGAAGATGACTATTCGAGACTAGATTTGCTTATTGGCAGTATTACTTAACAAAAGTCTAGGCCAATTATGATGGGCAGCCCTGCCTGGCGAAGCAACGTGATCTCCCATGAACTGCAACGGCCTTCAGCCACATACTGCATAGCAACTGCGTAACAATCTAACATTAGGGGGTATATTACAGAATAACACTCACAAGCGCATTTTTGTGCCTGAGTGAGCAACAACCATTTTGCGTCAGCGATTGCCTTAGCCAGCCGTAGTCGAAAAGCTCACGCCGCATGTACGGAAGGCGCATGACAGAAGATTTTTGACTTTCAACTATGTTCTACGCTTTGATATGAATCACAGCTTACCTCTTCCTCTGTGCATTATGTGAATCACTGCGAAACATAATGAGGCATCATCGTGGTAGCTCAGACATTTTTGACAGTCACAGAGTGCATAATGATGATGTAGAAACAGAAGCGCCGTACGGTGGCACACTGCAACAAGGCCGAACCAATAGATTGATGAAGCTTCCACCTACAGACCAATCTGGTGGCCAGTTAGTGAAACGTTATCAATAAATATCGGAAAGTGACTCTAAAATTATATTTATGTTCCTAATAGTGGTACTATATATTTTCTCCGTGTTCGTGTATCCTGGTGTATTGCTCGGTGTCTCTACGGCAGTGTCTTATCACGCGTTAGGCATGGATGGGCTCGCTACAACTCTTCAAGTTTACTGATCTACAGTACACCTAGAACTGCATGTGTTGATAATAGAAGAAGGTCGCTGTTATGGATGGCAAAAGAGAAGGATGGGTGAATGAATAGTATGAGTAACCTTTTTGTTAGAAGTAGTAGACTTTGCTCCACAGAGGAAGAAAAAGTAATTGTTTGTTTTAGGCCAGCCTAGCACCTTCTGTACTTCCCATAGACTTCCTATAGAAAATTTCAGCGGAGTTCAGGCTTTGTCTTAGTTGCTTTCAAACAAAGCAGCCAAAGAGTAATTTTCTGTAATGCATTTTTCACTTTCAATAAAGTATCACAAAGGAAACTGACGTAACAACATCGCTTGCAAAGGCACCAAGTGTCCCCTATTCAATCAATAAATCAAAGTCTTTCATTTCAACCATATTGTACAGCACTCAGCACTGTTCTGTAAAGTAGGTGAGAGAGATACTGTGTAATCCGCTGTGCAGTGATCGAAATAATAGACAGAAGCCCGTGGGCATGCAATATGTGACTTCGTCTTTCGAGGAGTCGTAGTGAGTTAGCCAAAATGAAGTTATGATTTACCTTATTGTGTACTCGGATATATATATATATATATATATATATATATATATATATATATATATATATATATATATATATATATATATATATATATATATATATATATATATATATATATATTTCTTTATATATATATATTTACACCACAGCGTCACGTTTTAGTGGGATTATTAGGTCCACTTTTTGTCATGCGCTCCATAGGTCTTGTAGACAGAAGTGCGTGGTCGATATCTGATCCTTTATGTCGATCTAATGGCTTACTCGGGTGTTCTGGCTCATTGCTCTAATTTATTCTTTCTGATGCATACATTATGCGCTGATATACATTTGTGCCATCCTGTAGGCACAACGTGCCAGAAAAAGTTTATGCTACTCAAAGACGCCGCATTCCTTCACCCGCATCGTGTAACCATACATATATAAATAATATAGCTGCTGTGTGTATTTAGTACAACTGAATTTATTCATCTTGCGTTGTAATGATGCCTGAAATGAACAGATCTTCACGTCAAAATGACACCCTTTTTATTCGACTGCTCGCTACTGATGCAGCAGTGCAAGGGCCAATTATTGAGCATTATTTACATTTACCTAAATTTTGCTTCTGTTTTCTTAGCATGACTTGATATATCAAACTTTTCCAAGTGACTGGCTTTGCTTCAAGGGAAGTCTTGTTGTGGGCTGTAGAATACACGGGGCGACAACAGCTAAAAGATGTGGGGTATTATTTTTCCAAAAGAGGCAAACACATTCGTTTACACCATAACTATTTTGGTGCAAAGTCTACCTCACAATGCCAAGTGATAGAGCATTTGGTTATAAAGAATAAGTTATATTTTTTCAATGCTATTTCAACGCTTCACCCAGGTGTAATACAGTGCAAGGTTAGGCTTTTAAGATCACTCACCTCTTCATACAAAAAATTACAGCTTTGCCAAAAAAAGGATGAAATGGACGCAATAGCAACAATTTGGAAGGCCACCTGCAGAATGGAAAGCAGATCGAAACGTGCCCCCCCCCCCCCACGTTTCTCACACAAAAATAACGCATGAAACGAACTCACAGGTATAGATGCACGCAAATAAGCATCTCAGTCGTTGCTTTGCTGTGTCTGAAAAGCGCGTGTTTTTGCAAATGAAGACCGAAATGGTTGCAGTGACCTGCAACCCAGCCAAGACGTACGATACTCCCCTCTTTCCCACCGGAGTTAAGGACGTGCGAGGGAGCGTTGCCCTCCTCTGCTAAATGAGACAAAGTACGCGTACGCAATTAGAGAGCGTGCCACCATGTGATGTGGTTACCCGCGCTCACTGCGCCATCTTGCTGATAGGGCTGAAAACAGAATCTTTTCCCCCGAGATGCACTTCAGCAGTGGGAAAAGGTAGATATGCATAGCTTGCCATTTGAACGGTGAAGGACGTGTTCTTTGGAGGTTCAGTGGTTAAAGGAGAACTGCGGGGCATTTACGACCATAGTGAGATCCTGCTGTTTGCACATAAAATTGACAGTCCTGCAAAAGCTAGGGTGGTTAGTTTTGCGAAGGCACTCGTCAAAAACTTTAAAGTAAGCAATAGATGGCGAGTCAAAACAGAAACCGGAACAGGGAGCCCTCCGTTATCTTTGGTGGGTATCGAATGACGTCATGAGAATCCGTCGCCGATGGAGTCACGAGATCCGCTACCCCCGGTTACGGCTGGCCAAGTTGTAAACATTGCACTGAAAGCAAGTTGGCGATGTCATCCGAAGCGGAATCAAGCTGTGCTAGCTCGTCTCAACTTACTAGTGACAAGTTCAATGTCGATTGAAGCTAATATCTGAGCACGCAAGCGTCGCTTTTTGACTCCGGCATGTCGGCGCGTGAAGCATCTAACGTGCCCTAAATCTATTTCATCTTTGCTCATTATTGTAAAGCCAGACTTCAATGGCGAATAACACGCTGTATGCAGCTGACGAAGCTGAACTGTTGTCGTGTTGTCGTCGCCTCGTAGAAGAAAGCGTGCGCGCAGAATACCTATACACTGCCATTGGCGCACAATCCATCCGTCCGCTAGAAAAGGCATGGTTTTCAAAAAAGGGGTAGTCCCTTACATCACATACACGGTGGCTTGCGTTTACAAGTGCCGATCGAGAATCAGCTACTAGTTAGAAAATCTGTTTTCCGAAACACTAAACAACTTACGGGTGTATGATTTGGCACATATTGTCACGCTACCGAGGAGAACACATGTTAAAGTTTTATTGAAATAGGTGAATATTGAAAAACCGCCGGAGTTCCCCTTAAACGCCTCGCACTATCAATTGATAGGACCCAAGTTTGATTCTGTGCGCCGTCCTTTTCTGTTTTTTTTCTTTCTTGCATTTTCACGTATATAGATAAGTATGCATATATGATGAGTGACGGCGACAACGACGCTGGCGGCAAATTCAGCAGAAAGTTTCCATATATTGCTATCGCACTAAAAGTTTACGACTGCCATGAAGGAACTATGGTGTTTTTGGACCTCACACTGATGAAAGAATGGCATAAAATATTTGCGCAATGTTACGAAATACTCTAAAATGGCGCTTTATAACGCGTGGTAAAAAAAAACGGTAAGTGTGAGCATTTCGTCCACATTCGGTATACAGAAATAAAAAAACTTGTCAATAAATTCATGTCTGCTTTTTTTTCAGGTAATCAATCGTTATGCGAATTCCTCCTGCAAATATTCTATTGGCGCTTGGCGTAGTTTTTCTTTCCTCGCCATCCAACCAAGGGCCAACGTACGTGCTTTCAACAACTGCCAGACCGGGTTCGTGCGCACTTGTTTTTATCTTTATAATGTAACTCTCACTTTATGCTGCGCGTTAATTAAACTTCTTTCCATGTCTGGTGTCTATCACTTTTGTATTCGTTTTTGTCAAAAGCAGCTGCTTCACATTACGATGTCATAAAATTGCACACGTTTCGAGTAGGATTCATATCAATGCCACCTATACACTGTCTATCGCCTGTCTCTTTCCGTCTATCTATCTATCTATCTATCTATCTATCTATCTATCTATCTATCTATCTATCTATCTATCTATCTATCTATCTATCTATCTATCTATCTATCTATCTATCCACCTATCTATCTATCTATATATCTATCAATCTATCTATCTATCTATCTATCTATCTATCTTTCTATCTATCTGTCTATCTATCTATCTGTCTTTTTGCATGTCTATCTATCTATCTATCCATCTATCTATCTATCTATATATGTCTCTTTCTATCTATCTGTCTGTCTGCCTGTCTATCTATCTATCTATCTATCTGTCTATCTATCTATCTATCTATTTTGTCGCGCTCGCTCAGATGTCCTTGTTAACTTCATACAAACTAAATTAGCTTAGAAAGAAAATTGGCACAAAAGAGGGCACATGTTATTCTTAGAAGTGTTTATGCTGAGAGGCCAAACTATTAGGTCAACACAAGCATCATTAAGCTTGATCATTACCATATAAGAAACTTTTAAAGTTTCGACCATGGGTGATCATTATGGTTTTACAATACTAAAAGGTATAAAAATATTTAAATTGTTGTTTATAAAAATAAATTATGCCACAATATGCGTGTTGAGGCAACAATCATAACTGCAAAATGATTGGTGCGATTCAAACGTAATTTGGCAGGTATGTACTGAGGACTCTACCTCATACACCTCGTTTTTTACACAATTGGCCAGCGTATGAAATGTCAAGGCTCGTTTTAAATAATTCTGCTTGAATGCACAGTTCTACGTACCACTGATTATTAAGAAAATTGTCATTGAAAACATTCATTAAACGAGGGCTATCACTGTTCGCGTAAGAATAGGATGCGAAAATTCAGGTTTTGAGAAAAGCGGCTTTAAAGATTTTATTCTATTGTTCAGAATATAAGAAAATGGTTCCTATTTTTTAAAATCACCAAGGTAATTGCTTTGCACATACATTTAAGGGTTACAATCTCCTTTTGATTGAGCTGAAGCATATACCTTTTTTCTAGCGTGCGTTACATCTCAAGCTGACTCTTGCTCACGTGTGCAGAGCAGGTTAAGGCTTGATATATTAATCTTACACCTTGCGTTGATGCTGCCTTTTCGTCCTATACTTCGTCAAGTTTGGCGGAGTGCTATATTTTCCCAGAGGCCTCAACTGAGTTCAGATGTGGAGTGCTGTGTATCAAAATGCACGGACGGGTGAGCAAGAACAAGCCTAACAAAGAGCGCTGTATACGTGTAGTATATATTTTAAAACAAAGTGACAACATCGTGTCCCACAGGGTTTAAAATGTTTCTAGAAAACTGAACATTACGTCAAATGTTAAACAATTGCACTGATGAAAATAATGCAAGCATTGTGCAATCGGAAACCTTCAGTTTCGCCTTCGAGTACATCCAAGGAGCCGCCGGAAAATGGTCATAACTTTCAATCCGTTTCAAAGAATTTCATGTATTTTCTTGCTAAATATTTTACAATAGTTAAGGACTGCGAAAGTGGTGATTCCCTAAAACTCATTTTTTACAAAATTGAATTTATCAAGTGGCCACGTACCTTAAAAGCTGTGCAAAACACGCAAAATAGTGTCAGGCACCAAGTTGAAGCATCACCTCTCCCCACTGAGTTTATTGCTGTCTTCGCATCGTGTGCTTTATTCAGAAAGTCATGGTGTAACTACTTGATTAGAAATATTTCACCACGTCGGTAGTAGAATACAACACTCCATTTCTGATGAACAGCGGCGCCAACAATCACGTTGAATAACCTACGAAAAATCACCAGAATTTCTGACAGAAATACTTCCACAGACCACAAAACACGCACAGCAAAACGCCAAGGGGATGTAGATATTCGATGCCCTGTCCCAAATGTACAATGGTGCCACTCTAAAAACATAACTTTGTCGTCTACACAATTTTTGAAATTTAGGCTCAACACAAAGAGTCACCCCAGTATTACTTAATTCCGTCGTAGGTTTTCCACCCATCAACATGTTCATTTTGTGTTTAGCATCAGAATATTCAGAGATATTTTACAAAGGCCGTCAAGTGGCCACGAACATAAGCTTAGCGCAAGCGAAAGGAGTCACGAATACGACTGGATGGCGAGTGATGAGGTGGTGAGATTGCGATGTCTAATTCCGCTCAGTTGCTGGCGAGTCACTGCGTCCAGGGTGCTACGAAAAACTATTCCATGGAAACAATTCGGCCATATGCAGTTTGTTAGATGTAGTGGTTTCTGGTGGTGACGTTCGGGATGGGTGGCATTTACGAAGATACCGAGCTATACGCCATGTGGAAGAACGGTTGGGTACATGAGTGATTGATGGCTCCATATATATCTGTTGCAACAAATACTAGGTCATGGCTGTTGCTGAGAATACTTGTTATTAAGCGGATAATTTTGCTTTGCCACCCACTGTAACTTGTGTTGGTAGTAAGCCACATGATGGTAATAGGTTTGGTGCGGTCGCTTTCGAAGCTCGGCTTAACACGGTCTGAGAGATAACAACAGGACTCCTTTGTGTGGGTGAGTGTTACAGCTAGATCCTCTAATGTACAGGCATGTCTTTTGTGGAGCCTTGAGATCACAAAGAGCCATCCAGCGGCTTGGGGAAGCTTTGGCGAAGCAACGGAGAAAAGGAGCCGACGACCCGTCCAATGGGCGTGGAGGCACGCGAGTAACTTTTGCCTAGTCGGAGCACAACATCCTTGAGGTCTAGGTTCTGAGATTATCGGACTCTAATAGTCGTAATCTTAAGACAGAGAACATCCACACCCTGAGAGGCCAGGGACTTCCTACACGCCGAATGTGTAATTAAATGTTATTTCTCTCTCTTTAGATCACAACCCTCAGTGTCAACCACCGCTTGACGCGAGTAGAACCACGCAACATTTGGCTCAAACTGTGCTCGGAGGTGGAAGTGATAAGTGCTTGAGTGCGCCGCTTGCACGTGCGGGCTGTGTTCTTCACCAAGGTCCTCAGTTTCTGGAATGCTGAAATACAAAAGAACTTCAGAAGCTCAAAGTATTTACCGCTTCGCCAATGCAAGATCTAGCACCTTGTTGCTCTCTTTGGTTGCAAGTTTCGTCGCATTGACTAGCCTGCCAAACTTCGGCATGACGCACCTCATCTTTGTTTCTGAACAATACGAAAGCGCCGACTGACATCGGAGGCTTAAGCCGGAGCGTTGTTCATGGTTAGTAAATATTAAGCATACTAGGCAACTTTTTTACATTGTGCGACACTTTTTCTTTCTCAGACATTCCACAGTTCACCATTCTGCACACTCGTATGGCTTCCTATTTCAATGTAGTGAGGGTTCGCCTGGAAATGGTGCGTGTCCTATGAGCGTCTGTTTTTTTTCTTTGTTGTGAAGTCGCCCAAAATGGTGTTTGATTTCAGTAACAAATGTGCGCCACATCGTTACGTTTACTCTCGACTCTAATTCCACACTCATGCGGTATCCTCTAGAAAGAACTCAACTTCCGAAAGCCGAGAAGCAGCATCTCACTTCGGAGTGGTGCTTACCCGCTTGTAATGAAGAAGTCAAGCATTGACGTCTTCACCTGGTTTTTCAGTGAAAGGACGGGTATCTTCTAGTTGTTGAGCAAACATCGTCAGTACAACAGTTGAAAGAAGGTCTTTGCCTTCATTGTATGATACATTCAACCAACATGGATTTGGTAGAAGTCCAGCAAAGCGAAGACTTAAAAAAAATTAGGCGGTTTGAACTTCAATTTTTTTGTCGAGTTCCCAGCACACTCCACCACTACTTTTAAAGTGAGCTGCGGTGAAATGGTTTCATTTACAGGGCACGAATAATTATTGCTGGGACTAATGCGCCGCGCTTTGAAAACCTCTCTTTCAAACTTTCTCGATTCCTTCTTTCTGCCTTTCACATCTTCTTTACAGTGCTTTGGAGGTGCTTTCTTGCGTAATTATACCACTGAATTTCGAATTACTTTGCTCAGTTTCAACACCACGAAAAGACCCGCTTTATCGATTTTGGGGAAGCTTGGGAGGCCCAAGACCAGTGATGAGACGCCCACCTCTTCCTACAATATATGAAACGGGTGTGTACCTTTCAGAGTTTATGATTTTATGCCTGAATCTAAAGAGTGCAGTGTTGCACATGTCTAGTAAACATTCAAATATAACACCAAAAAACACTCTCCACTATAAACTCCTGGGGGTACACGTATGATTTGTGCAATGGAGACATCTTGTCCACCTACTTGCAAGCTGAGAGCTAGCTGAGAATACTCCCAAAATGTGTGGGTTTGCTTCATGTGTCAGCGCTGAACGTAGCGCTGCGTATCATTTTGTATTAAAAATGCAGTGTATAAATATGAAGATGAACAGTTGAGTACGGAATAAAAGTACGAACGCAATGAAGTGACCCGAATAATGGCACAAGTATCAAGTTATAAAAACACCCAAAGCTTACATGACGTGCTTCGTAACTGGGAAACTTTTTGGCACAAACAGACCGAGGGCATATAGCGCAAAAGAACAGTAAAGGTACTGTTCCTGTTACAGTACCCATTCAGTACAGTACCCATCTTGTTATTTCGTATGTCCTGCATCTTTATGAACCAGTACGAGCTAGCTCATGCGCAGCTATGAACCAGTACCAGTTAGCTCAACCCAGCATCGCGATTTACTGCATGCAAAATGCATATTTTATGAACAAGCATTCAAGTGAAAAAATACGGCAATACAGAAGCAAGAATGTTATTGTTGGTGGCAAATGTAAGTAAAACAGCAGCCACCGAGTAGTCACAAATAAAGAAAGCCAATCACCAGTCCGACAGAATTTTTTTGAAAGCAGATGACAATGAGACTCAAAGATCGAGAAACTGCAACCAGGAGCAATAACACAAACATAACCATGTGACCATGAGGTATATAATCACGAATGAGGTTAGAGGTACTTGAATTCATTGTTAAGGAGTCCTGTGCGTTTGTCACACCCTTACGCAAGCTGAAATCCTTTTGCAAAAACGTGTCTCGTGCAGGCTTGACCTGACACCTTTCAAGTACTTTCGCGTTCTGAAAAGAACGAGAACAGCAGCACGATGTTCAATTAAGAGCCGGTGTACTGCCAATGTTGCTTCTAATGAATTGGCATGTGTTTGCGTAGGGTAATTTATGTAAAATGTGCTTTGTTCTACAATGCATTTGGTGCATTGCGTTTAGGTGCCATAAACAACTACTCTAGACATTCGCTGGAACAACTTCAAAGCTTCTTGTCATGCAAAATGGTGACTACTAGTTCTGTTGATATGTTTACGCATAGAGACACAACAGTCTGGTGCAGACAACTGAGCTGTCTGCAGTCTTCTTCAGCCTGCTAGCTGTTGAGTGAGTAGTATCAATAATTAGTATTAGTATTGGAAAAAATAGCCTAGATGAGAAGGACCATGTACCACTATTTTACCACACCTTTATTGCTGTCATGTTTCAACGCCCAACGAGCAAATTATTATGATCTATTAACCAGTAGTTCTTCGCACGATCACTTATTCGTACTATCGCTATATCAGCACACAAAAGTGGTACGACTTCCAATCAGAAAACAATTTGGCGCCTGTATTTAGTCTAAAATATTCTTATGTCTTAATTGCTTCAACCGCCATGCCTATTAGCACATCTTCGGATGGAGATGGATGGAAGGGCTGCAGTGATAATGAACCCTGATATTGCTGGAAAGGGACCCCGTCCTAATACTCCTTTGGCTTTTCACAGTACGTATTTCCTTATTTTCGCTGCCTACGTTATGAATATGGATAGCATCCTGGTTTTCATTTGCTGTTTGTAGTGTTAAATCCTGCATCTCTGGACGAGGGCTTTTTTGTGCATAGCAATGCATTTTCAGCCCAGCGTAAAGAAACAATTGTATCTTTAGAATCACGTATCTCTCTATTTACCACTAAAGTTACAAACCCCATAATATATGTTCGTATTGATATCGTGCGTTATATATGTGCAATATTCGCTTTTTATGGACTACATTCACAAGTATGAATGGAGCCATCAGATCAAGACGGTTGGGCTTAGATGAAGTACCTAAACTCTTTCCGAATCGCTGAAATATTTCGGTTGACCGACATACCGACAAACAGACAGACCATACGACAGACATGCAAGCAGGCAGGCAGACCAAAGTTGCTGCATTCAAGTATTTGGCTTTAATCAATACTACCGTCTTGAAAACAGGACAGTGCAATACCCTCCATATAAGCTGAAATGATAGAGTACCGAGACATAATTCGAATTTCGTCCGTACGGATTCCACACACAGAGCGGGTAGTGATTTCTCGTCCTATTTACCTCTCCTTAAAGTTAACTGAGAATAACTACAACACGTTTAGGAGGGCGTAAATAATGTATATTTTGCGTACCATGTCTTGTAAAACTCTCGTTTTGACAAGCGGGGAGTAACGTAGAAAAGAAAAACCCTCGAAGAGTTCGTCAGTTATCGGTAAAAGAAAACTTGCTCTTTTGTAAATAAGCCTCAAGAGCCATTTTTTCCTAACAGTTCGATAACTTACCTCAAATATTTTCAGTATTTTATCAGGTCGAAGTTGTGCAAAAATAAAAGTGTATCGATGATAACGGGCTTGTCACACACTTCGGGGGAGGCCACGCTGATGTAACGTCGACCTGCGGCAGACTCACAAGCTTCCACTTTACGCTTTGAGCTGCGATGCCTGAAAGGCCTCGAAGTGGCACATCTCAAATTTATTTGCAGGTTGATCGACCCGTGCGGGGTTGCGCGTGTGACGATGTATGAGCCTGACCGACGTGCTCATAGAACAAAGACTTTTGCTTAAACACAAACAAGCATTTACACAAACGAGAGCACTGGCAAGAGTTTACAAATAAATGACAGAGGAAAAACACTAATACGCGATGAAAAAAACAACAATGCAAAATATGCTCTAAGAGACACTACGACAGATACGAGAAAAAACAACAACGCGGAATGTTAATAAAATAACATCATGATGGAAATCGTAGAGAGATACAGGGAAATAAGGAGCAAACGATAATACTCGCACTTCTGAATTGCTACGTTCGACGCAGCGCACAGCACTACAATTTTCGAAAAGCTGTTTATAATCGAGTAACAGTTTTAAAAAAGTGACAATAAAAAGTTCTATATGGACCAGGCCACCTCCTTGTACACGTAGGGGAGTGGACGGGTTGCCGCTGAAGATCTGGCCAGCTTTGTAGACAACGAGGGTACCCGGTATTGCAGCCGTCTCAATACGTTGCGCGGGTCACTCCGTGCTCATCGCCTACGCGAGCCTCACGACGACGACGACCACGCTTCTTACTGGTTGCACGTCAACTGCCAAATCAGACGCAGTCCAAACTTTTTCGCGGCATACGTGCGCTCTCGTTCCATCTGGAGTTCATTTCTTTTTTCTAGAGCACATGTGTGCCCCTTTCGGTACAGGTGCAGAGAAGACGCGATGGGGCCATCGCTTGGTCGTTAGTCGCCGGTTGTCGTCTTTCCAACACAAAAAGCGCCCTTCCTTGGCACGAGCGACAGGAAAAGTGCAGTCGTTTGTTACAGGGCTATGAAGCAGTAAATTGTCACCTTGAGTTTCGAGGAATAGCGTTGCTTATAATGTTTCTTAACTGTTTTCAAAATTATTAATTGTCAATCAAAGAGAGAGCCCAGACACTGGCCACTGTGTGATGTTCTGATCTGCGTGAACAAATAATTTTCTTGTAGAACTTAGCCACGCAATCATATGCAATTAGCATAGCGTTCGACTGACTTTGGATTCAACTTTTGTAACCCGAAGGTGTTTTAGGCCAGGTTCGCCCCGGCTCTGCTGATGTGTCTCTGTCATGGATGCGACGTTCTGAGGTGTATACGAACATCTGAAGCAGAAAAAATTGAACAGTAAGTTCTGGAGCGGGGCGTCGAACCAGCGACCTTTCCCTTTTCAGCGCGCTATGCCAGCCACTAGACCACAACGTGCATGGGGCTCAAGACGGATTTCATTGGGAGATATGGAGCACATAAAGGCACGCTTAAAGTGCTCTCTTCAGAGCCAGTGTGTTTCAGTGGTCGTACAGGTGCAGGAGCACTGTCATCCATCGGTAGATTGGGAGTGCTTTTGCCGTGCCGAAAGCAGCCAGGAGCAGTTTGCCGTGCTCTCGCCTCTGCAAGGACGCCGCTGCAAGGCTTTGATCACTTGCACGAGAACTGACACTCGCTCAGTGGAATTCACCGGCATTCACCAAAATTTGGACCCACACCTACAGCTTCGTCTTCCATCAGGAATAACAAGAGCTGAGGAGACACTTTTGTGCCGTCTGTGGTTTGGGGTGGCTTTTACGAATGCTTATTTGTTTCGAATCGGAATGGCCAGCAGCCCGACATGTGACAACTGTGGCTGCACAAAGACTTTCTCCCATCTTTGTGAGTGTCCTCGCTACAGCGCGCCAAGAAAAGAACTGTCGAAAGCTTTATACAGACAAGAGACAATCGCCAATTGTCGGAAGAAAGGGTATTAGGACACTGGCCGAGACCGTCCTCTGCACGCAAGGCATAGAGAGCGTTGTTGCGCTTTGTGCGGGCAAGTGGTCGTAGAGACAGACTGTAAGCAGCGTCGTGGATCGTCTGATGACCTTCTCTCTCCCTTTTCTTTCAGCGTCTCTTTTCTCTCATCTTTTATCACCCTTACCCTCTTCCCCAGCACAGGGTAGCCAGATGGTCGGAGAACTGGCTAACCTCCCTGTCCTTCCTCTTTCAATCCTCCCTCCTTCACAAGCATACGAGGTATTAGGATAATGAAGAACGTGTGTCTGATGAATTTCATGCAGATTCTGCTACTGCCCCACAAAGAATGTGCTGGTGCTTGGAATGTTTCAGTCACATGGTCTCCTTACTCGTCACCTTCTCAAATGCCCTCCGCGAGCGCGGCGCATTCCAGTGGCAGGTTGAGTGGTCCTGCTCTCAGTGCTCTGTCCCCCACTCCTCAGTGCCCTGCTTCTCTACTCCTGTTCTCACAAAGAAAAATTCGTCATTAATTTGCCAACGACAAGGTATTCGTATACACAGTGTATCATTCACGGTCCTCACAGCTTCAGCAACTTAAGCGAACTTTGGTCATCACTAGCGAGACGGCGCCAGGGTCGTGCGTTAGGCGCGTGCGAAGCTCCACGAAACCTGGCACGTGGCGATGCGTGCGCACCTACACATGGCGGAGTCAAAGTCCGTATAGATGTTCTTAGGCATAGTCGCTAACTTGCGCGTACTCCTATTAAGGGATTAAGGTGTGTCGTACCCTTCGTGCTTCCCCTAAAGTTCGGTTTGAAGTTATTGAAAACACAACCAAGGCCGCTTCACTCTCTGCTGAGGCCACATCTGCAAAAAGAGTGCGCTGCTCAAACGAAGAAGTAGCAATTGCGACAGTTTTTCGCACTCGTATGAGTGTATAATTGTGTGTTCGTTTTGTTTGTTTTCTTTCTGTTTGAGCAACGTGCTTTATGTGTCGATCTGCGACACTTCTGTGCCCACGCTCATTTTGTGTGTGTTCATTTGATGCGTTCTTTCTACCTAAATTGTGCGCTGGAAGTTTCGACCTGCTTCCCAATGTTCGGGTGGCATTATATTTTGTTCCTATATTGGCAGTGAATCACAATATCACCTAACTTTGCTTAGTCTGCACATCAGCGAGTACGATATTACAATTTCTCACAGCAGCCTAAATTCAACAAACAGACTATAATATCTCGTATGTTTTTATTATTCTTTTAGAAGGCTCTTGTATAGCTTCTTTGAACACATGCTTTTTTTGATTCAAATTTTTATATATCTCAAATAACTTTTCAGGAGGCTATGGGCCCGCTTATAGAGGAGGTGTGCCTGCGCACCGCGCACCAGAACGCGTTGGCGGTAAGTATACCAACTATTCCGCGAACAGTGAAAGAGAACTTTCATGGAGTTTATTTGATGACAATTATTACCTTAGATGATTGCCTTTCACCTATTATTTGATGACGATTATTACCTTATATCATCGGCTTTCACCAACAAAGGGGGATGGGCCAAGAACTGAGCAGCAAGATACTGAAATGATTAAAAACTGTGATTAAAATGATAAAACTGTGATTAAACAAAAGTAGTTGCTGAGCAAGCGGTCGGACGATTTTATGTTCCTGATATAGACATAACTATGAATTACAATCTAAGGATTTGAAAAAGTTAGGATTGACTGGCATGGTAAGTTTTTGTTGCAATTATATAGTCAAACACAGTACACCATATATTCTCTCACCAATATTTTTTTATTATACAGAATAACGAAGTTTGCAAAACCCATCATGACTCACCAGGTGCACTTCACGAGCTGTTATGCTGTAATTGTTTGCTTTTATACAAATGATGTCCTTTGATTCATTGATTGATTTTCTACACTTTGTAGGCATGTAATCTCATCAATCAGTGCTAGCGCTTATGTCAGTTTTTGCACCCCAAGGCAATCGCTAAAGTATTCAGATCATAAATATAGAGCACATAAGGAATTATCTCTCAATATTTCACATGACACACCAATTAACACACATCTAACACCAGTGCCAACTCATTGGCCTACGGCTGTAACCGAGCTGGCAATTCACAGCCGCAGCTACTTTCGCTGAAATCTCGGTTGAGAGCTGCATCATTCTCGCGTGCCATTGTACTAGTCATGTTTTCTTCTGCTGACATTTCTTACTGGAAAACAAAATTCCACAAGTGAGAATTTACCGCAAGTATTTCAATGCAGGTTCTGTCAGCGTTTAAAAACTTTTTTTGTAATCTCAACGAAGAATATAAATACTTACAAAATGAAACAATGCCTGTAGTGCACAATTCGGTGGTCAGCAAGATGCAACTGATTTCACTCATTTGCCTTTTATATATTGCACTTTTTAACCATTGGCGAAACACAGCATGGATACTTGATTTACAAAAGATGTGTTGATTTGTGCTGAGTGGACCTGAATACAAAACCCATAGATAGACGTGCTGACTCTCTTATTATGAAAGATCCCAATGTTGGTCAAACCTCCAGCTTAACTTTTTTTTTCAACATATACAATATACAATATATTTATTAGATATACTATCTTCATACAGCTCTGCAAATTTTGCAACACCGTATCCCATTGATAGATATAGTGATAGTAATAGCTTCGTTCTGTTCTCGTGCTATAACTATGGTCATGTCATACCAACTAGATCAAACTGCCACACCGTATATAGGTTGCTAGCCTCAAACAAAGTTATCAATTTTTTCAAAATTTTTGCAACTGGCAATGCGATTGTCAATCAAGGCAAATGTAAATTTATACTTTGCACAGCGCACAAACGACTACACAATCATTGAAATTTATTGATTTGAACTAGCGTGTTTATTCTGCCTTCAGTCGTGTGGGCGGCCACCAAACTTTCACATGTTTTCATACCTGTGTATCTTAGACCACTTAGAGACATCAGAAAAAGACGATGAGCAGGAGCCGTAACTTCTATGGCCTCTTTTGTTCGATGATGAGGTGAGGGTAAGAAGCATACACATAAAAGCACTAATGAAAGCACTTGCAGCCTGTAAAAAGGCAAAGCCTTCTTACAATTGTCGGTTCTAGCAAAAAACTCTTGTTTACAATTTTGATCAAAAATGTCGATTTTCGCATGTCTCCTGCCATATATGCATTGTAGATCACATAGTTCATGTCAGAACCATTATCTTACAGGAATACCTGGTCTTCTTAATCAAATACAGCAAGGGCTAAGGCAGTTAAATTTTGGCGGATAAGGTAAGCATGTAACGTCCACTGCATTTTGAGCGGAAGCACCGCATCTAAACGCTGGAAAACTATTCATTTACGTTGTTTAATTATATATGCTAAAAGTGAAATACAGTCAATGCAAGTTAGGCCACGTGGCTTTAGGTAGTGTTATCTCATCTTCGATTTGAGATTATTTTTTGTTCCTATCTTAAGGATAAGGGCATGTTATTCTGAAATACGAGAATTGCTAGGAAGAACGAGAAGTGCCTAATTTTCAAATCATTAACTCTGAATGAGTTTCTCAACACGTAGTCTACATTGGCTCTCCTTCGACATCTAATTTGAAATGACTTCATAACTTTTCCTCCATTCCTTAAGGCCAACAAAGGCTCCAGCTATACTCACACGCAATAACGCATTTACTCCCGAAAATCGCTCAGTTACAAGAAATCTTTGCCTTGTCTGCTTACCAAAGGTATCACCTATGGTAGCACTACCTCGAGAATTGTAATTCTTGTGAAGTGTCTTTGATGGATAACTTTATTTACTATTGCGTTTTTCGTACATATGACCCATTTTTCTGAATTCTTCAAGAGCGACGAAGAGAAACAAAAAAAGCGAAATTGCGTCTTAGTAATTTTAATAGGGCTTGGCGCCCATCAAATTTGTTTGATGAGTTGTGTATTGCCATTTTTACTTCTGATGCTGAGTGCCAACAGGAGCGGGAGCACTTTGTGAGGCCTTTGTAGCCTTTTGGTTTAGCTTCTTAATTTTGTAATGGAAGCAAAATCGACTGAACTTCGAGCACCTGTAACTTAGATATAATTACGAGACATCCTTGTGTGGCACTCAGTAAATTTTAATCAGATGTGCTTTTTTCAACAAGCACCCAAACTAAGTACACTAGCCTCTGGTGATTTCGGCTGCATCCCCCATCTTAAATATCAACAGTCTTTCCCCAGAATTACCAGATAACTATAGTGGGTCAATGTATCGCACAGATTCTATCATTGAGTAGTTGAAGCATTTTTAGGCACTTGAAGCTCATTCTAAGAAAAGTAGTCTCGATAAAACGGAATGGGTCCCAAGTTTAATCATATTCTGAACACCGTGGTTAGTACATTTTCTTACACGAATAAGTAATCATAACATATAGTGAACAAGGTATAATTTTTGCTCTTAGAAAACGCGAATGCAATTATAAATGGCGATCTGTTTGAAGAAATAACCTCTTCATCTTCAGGTATATCTGTTTAGTTAAATTTAATATAGTTTTAATGTAACATAGCTGTCCACATAATTGAAACAATGCTGTTAAAGCTGCCTTCGTTATTCATAGATGGACTTTGTACTCTTTCTACGGGGATATACTTTTCATGCTCAGACCCTATGTCTGGAGGGGGAGCTTGGCATTGTTGTTTCAAAGCTTATGTGGAATAGCGCAAACCTTGACATGAACGGAGTAAGTGAGGCGTCGCTACGTCTACGAACACATATTTGCTATAAAGAAGAAATAGTTTACGTGCAGGAATGGGCGAGGCCACTGAACTGTACCGCGCTTTGAGTGTATCATTGCGTTTACTATATAACAATAACATATATATATATATATATATATAACAATAACAATAACAATATATATATATATATATATATATATATATATATATATATATATATATATATATATATATATATATATATATATATATATATATATATATATATATGGTAAACACAATGATACACTCAACGCGCAGGACAGTTCAGTCGCCTCGCCTGTTTCTGCACGTAAAATATTTCTTCTTTATAGCAAATATGTGTATGTAGACGTAGACGGCCATTATTCATCCACGTGCATTTTAGTAAAAAAAAAGTGGTTGAACATATCTGTGTGGAAGGAGTGCGGGTACGCCTTCTTGACCTGAAGTGGGCACCACGCACGCAGATGCACTCGAGGTGACTTTGTGCTCGGCATTCCATGGGTGAAAATGTCGGTATAGGAGGGCGAGTATTCAGGGTGGCTGGCTGCACCACTGATTTTCTTCAGCCGGTATTCTGGCTTGTATACGTTGACTTATTTCAACGTTATCAGCCTAACAAAAGTCGTTTATGATGGCAAATCCGAGCTTCCACGATTCGACGATAACAAGGAGTACGGAGCAAATCAATTTGTTGCAGCGGGGTTTCTAGGAGCGCCCCGCCTTTTCTGTCATACCTGAAATGAGAGTATTGAACGAGGTCAGCGGGCTATATTGTAGTAAACTGTTATTAAAAATATCGAAACCTCTACAATGCAATCAATTGACTGACATGTATAGTTTCACTTGCTCTTATGGAACGCTTGATACTTTTTACTGTTTTGTTAGGCACACACTTCATACTCATTTTTACGCTCTAAGCCAAAAAGAACTAAAGTGGGGTATGCCATTGGTTCTTTAGGGGACTAAATGGGCTGCCACAGATTTTGAATCAATTTTGGACTAACTGCTGGAGCAACTGCAAGGGTTTAACTGCTACACCCTAGTACTTACTCCACTTGGTTTAAATGTTGTTCCAACCAGAATTCTCCAGTGGGACTTACAGTTCAACCATCTCGACGAATTGCTAAATATATGGTGACTCTGTACTTGTGGGGTATATTTTATGTTTATTCCACTTTATTCCGCACTGAAGAATGCAGTGTATTGGTCATGCAACACGCAGATATATATGCATACGCTCTATTATTTCAAGTAATACACCGCAAACACCGACCACACACGCTGCACTACAGGGAAAGAACTATAGAATATATATAGCACAGTATTTTGACCTCCCATATGGCGCCAGTGGGCTACTTTTACTCAGCCTGAAAAAACAATAAACGTTGACACTGTAACGTGAAAAATTACATAGGCTAATTTGTAGCACCGAAGCACACCGATCTTTTAATAAGGATCCATCTAATCTTCAACATCGCTGCAGTCATAGAATACAAATCATCGGTTGGCATTCGATCATGTCGGCTGAACCAGCGTTCGCAGTGCTGGTGCACTAGTTTGCAAACACAAACATAGCAGCGGCGCTCATGCGTGAAAGCCGGCGAAGCAGCCAGGCAGCCCGGCCGATGACACCGTGTCGGCTTACCGACGGCGTCACTAGGCTTACGAGGAGTACGGCTAAACAACCACGGGCGATCGCAACATGTGGCTCGCGTAGAACTTTCGCCGTCGTTATTTTATAGTGAATACAATAGGAAGGTGCCCAATACACAATACACAATAGGAATGTGCCCAATGTTCGCGGTGTCTAACGGAGTGTTGTATGTATCTGTATACACTGAGACAAGACCATTCGCAGGCACGGTTCGTTCATCGTGGTGGTACGTCGCTCGCTGTGCTTCGCCGGCCGCAAAACTAGTCGTATCCGCGATCACCTTTACGCTTAATATTTGACGACGATGGTCGCATGGAGCAAAAGGCATAAGTTTATTTGAGCTTAAGTGCAAAATATATTAATTTCTGCGAAGGAAATTGTAAGCGCCCTTTCCATCGTGGGTGCAGGCAATGCACTCACACCGCAGCGAGCTTCAGGCCGATGACGTACGAAGCCTACTTTTTCTATATATCGCTTTGAAGTTGTGGCCAGTGTATGTGCAGGTACACGACCGCTGACGAACTGCTTACTTTTATTAGGATTGTCAGTGTTCTTCGTAGTTATAATTCAGCACATTGAAGCGAGTTATCTGCATTGTCCGTGTTCGCGGAGAGTTTCACTTGGTTTTGGCCCGCCAAAGTGGAAACCCGAAGGCAGCTTGCTGGGTGCACTGACTGCGCCTAGTACTTGCCTCTCATATCTTCTATTCGTTTCATAATGCTTCGCGTTCACAGTGGCATATATCCAATTTAACTTGGTTTCAGTGATCGCCGACCACGCCGAGCATTGCAGTGCAGCATCGACAGAAGGCGTTCGCGGCGCAGTAACTCTCCCCGTTGGTCCCTTAATGGCCGGCCGTATGCGCACGACACGCCATGTCACGCATTTAGTCCCCTGTTTGACGAACCGTTCATTCATAGATTTAACGACTGCAGTTAGTCCAACTTTGCCGAATTTCGGCTTATAGTGTATTTCCTATATTTTTTTCAATTAGTATTTGTGGTATTATCATTAAGACAGTTCAGAAGCTACAGAAATGGTGACACCCAATGAGACGATAGGTCAGACCGTTGAGGTCTGGTGCAACATCTTGACGTGTAATTGCTTACATTGCCTGGATCACAGCAATTAATCAAGCTTGGAACAGCCATGTTCAGTTTTAGATAAATGTTTGCCTAATAGTAAGCGCCATTACACTTCAAACAAATTCGAAGAGAGGATACCATGCAGGTATCATTTACTTGTACTTTTTCTTTGTTTTACAGGGTAATTGTTCATGCACATCAACTATATACTACATTACTTATATTACATTTAGTATGCAAGAAGAAGAGTCTGAAAAACGTGCTCTAGATTTGAAATGCGTTTATTTGGAGGCTTCTACAATGCTTTCTCGAATTGTGATACCTTTGCGATTTTAAGGAGTCGGAAGGTGTATGTGAGCATTGCCATTTGCGGCGTTCTTTCTTTTGCATATGGTGATGACTGACTGTTTTGTTCGCGTTCGTTTTGCCCTAATAAAATTTATCTGTACTTTTTCGTGCAGCATTGCCTTTTTTCTAGGGCCCTTTGGTCGAGTTAATTCCTAGTATAATAATCCTTACAAGTCTCCTACTTCCATTTACGCAGATCGAAAAAAATATAGCAAAATAGAACTGGACCAAATATGCTGAAGAAACTGGAGCTCCGAGCATTAAGTCCCATGTCTTTGATGATTGATTGATTGATTGATTTGTGGGGTTGAACGCCCCAAAACACCAATGATTATGAAAGACGTCATAGTGGACGGTTCCTGAAATTGCACCTGGGGCTCCCAAATCTGAGCCCGTGCACCCAAATCTGAGCGCACGGGCCTACAACGTTTCCGCCTCCATCAAAAATGCAGCCGCCACAGCCGGGATTCGATCCCGCGACTTGCGGGTCAGCAGCCGAGTGCCTTAGCCACTATACAACCACGGCGGAAGTCTAAAGTCTAATGCGGAAGATGTGATCAGGTAGAAACCGAACATAAAGTGCACCTTTAGTATACACACATGTACACTGTGTTTACAGTAGCGGTTTTAGGCGCGTTTTTTATTTAAAGTAAAGCTTATGCTGAAGATTTTGAATGAAGGTAACTTCTGTATGTTCGCGATGTTTTATTATAAGTACCGAGCACTTTGTTGGGCCATTCTGCCGTATGGTGTCTTCATCATGAGGCGTAACGCTCCACAAGTAGAATATTTAGCTTGCGCCAAAGAGAAAGCTCCTCCCGCTTGCTCTTCGAGTGTCTTGATCAACATCTACTATTTCCTCAAGCAACGAAAAAAATTAGTGCACCCGCCCCAACACAGGTGAAATCGCTTATAAGGAAAAAGAGGAAGCAAGGGCGACTTAGAAAGAACAAGGAAAAAATATGAAAGGAAATCAAAGGAGAAAGGGAGGCAAATAACTGAACAGAAATAAAGAAAGACACAGAAAAGAAGAGAACAGAATAAAATGAAACAAGAAAGGAGGAAAGAAGGAGAAAACCGAAGAAAATTGAAGGAGGCCGCTCAGCTGCGCATTCCTTTCAGGCTCGACACTCCTAGTGCAAAGGAATCCCAATTTTTTATGCCTAATGCGACAAAAAAACGGCCCTAAAAAGGAAAGAGCGGAGTAGAATAGGTGCACCACCAAGTTTTGATTTATTTACTCTGTCCTAAGCTGGCCATGAATCGGGATACCGCGTGTAAAGGGGGCAGCGATTTTTGGCAAAAGTATATGCAATTGTTAGAGTGAGTGTCTGAATTAAAGTACATACGTTGTCGGTAGCTGAAGTGCACGCCGATAGTCATTTCCGCTTCTATCGAGAGGTATGAAATTATTTGCGATGTTTCTTTTCGAACATTCGTTATTTGGATTTGTAGAGACGCTTGTGAGAGTGGAACGGGTAGGAAAAACTTTATTTTGATGCGGAGACCACACTCGTGAGAGTTAAATTCATTTTTGTTGGTGCCTTGAATATCATTTTACAATATCATTTATAATAAATAATATAAACGTTTATTAGGGTAGGAAATGAAAAGCGAAAGATCCAAATGAAATGGTGATGTAGCCAGCATTTCCGGCATTAGGCTTATCTTTGCACAGAATGCACTACCACTGCTTCGAAGTGTTTTCTATGTGCACTTTGAACGTGATACGAAGAAGAGTACAGTGAACTGTGGGAAAAAATAAAACATGAAGCAACACGTGGCCTTCTTGAAAATCGAAAATTGGGCATACAAAGTGCCGGACGGGTGTTTGACCTGAACCGATGTTCCAGAGGGAATGCGGAAAGGTGATTGCTGGCTCCGGCTGTTTGAACATTCTGTGCATGGCGAAGAGTTGCGCTCTAGCAGGTTAACATGGGTGGTGTGATTACTAATTGTACCGAATAATATACATCAGGCTAGAGATATTGACTCTTACAACTTCATGTTTCTGAGATTGAGCATTTGTTAAATGAAGCCTCATAAATTACAGATTGCAACATTGTTTGTATTGAATATATTACCATGTGCGTTTGTTGTTGAAGTTTACGCGTACTTGGTTTATGCTCAAAAGGACTGTTAGCAATGCTCATTGCAGCTCCCGTTTCTTTATTCAAGAAGCTTCACGTATGCAGTAGATCGCTTAGTTAGGATTATAAGCCAGACACAATCACTCAAGCTTGTTCCGCAAATTGCACTACCGTCATTTGTAAAATTGGAAAGTTTGACGCATGATAAATACTAGAAGGGGAATCCCAATGATCAGTTGATCGACGACCAGTTTTCGGTTTGTGGCCAGCAGTTTAGTAGGTATTGCTGTATTTTTACTTTCCTTTTATCGGCCACAAGTTCAGCCAAATAAACAATTACATGTTGTACCTTCAGTTCGCTGCCTTCGGCAACTTTCCGACAAATTGACAACTGGGAGAGGTGTTGGGTATAACATTTATACATATATAGAGGGTTCCAAAACTGTATTGTATTTGTCAACATTACACGGTCATTTCGCATTTATTTATTCAGGAGAGCAGCTGCTTGGTACGAAGACTGAATTGATATCAGTTATGTACTGTCATAATGAAGTACTGCGCCCCTAACCTCACCAGTTTTTTTAGACGCGCCCAGTGATGACATAAAAAGACATTTGAGTTATTCGCCACAGCATCGCTTCACAAGCAGCGCAACTTAAAAAAAGTATGAGCTGGCTGGTTGGTATGCAATGATAGCATCAGCATTCTCAAATTGTGAATGGCCGTCTACCGCTCTGCCCCGAGAGGAAAGCATATAACAGTTCCATCTTACCGGTGCTTACCTACGAAGCAGCAACCTGAAGGCTCACAAAAAAAACTAATTGATAATGAGGACAACGCCATGATGAATAGAAAGGAAAATAACTGCTATAGCTTTTACACACTGAATGAGAGCAGAATATGTCACGCAAGAAACAGGGTTGAGAACATCATCGTTGAAATAAAGAAGAGAACGACATAGGCCTGGCATGTAGCCTACATTCGCTGGTCAATGATGGCAACTGGCGAAATTTCGAGAGAAGACAAACGCGTAAAAGCAAGACAAAAAATTAGGTGGGCACTTGAGTTTAAAAAGATAACAGGTACAACGAGGCCGCAGAAAGCACAGGAAAGAGTTCATTAGTGAAACATTGAAGATTTTTTTTTGCACTGCAGTGGGGGTAGTGAGGCTGGTGATGGTGATGATGACTTCTGAGAGCGAAGGAAGGACACGCGAGGAAGAAAGCGAATGATTACTCGCCACCCCAATTACTTAGCTAGGTAAGAATAACAATACTGTTGAATATTAGCAATGAAATGACCGTATTGCCATACACTCCTTATATTCACCTTCCTGGTCGTTTTAATTTAAACGTCGGTTTTCGTACTTAAGACTGAAGTACTTATTGCGAATATAGTAGTATGTCATTGGTCATTGCGTTTTTGTGTTCTCAAATCCGTTTATGATTATAAGAGATGCTGTAGGGAAGGCCTCAGGAAACTTTGATTCTTGGGCGTACTTCAACATGCACCTAATTGGTCCTGAAGCGCTTCTAAATGCTCCTTAAGCACTTATAGAATGATTATGGAGGTGCGGTGGGGTACATCCACCCAAAAAGTCAAATTTGCTATTTCGACAACGAAAAATCTACTGTACTCTGTGGAATAAACCTGTCGTAGCCCAACGTCGAGCGGCTGCTTCAAGTGGTTTAAATGCTACGCCTTTGTGACACCGTGGCATCGTGGACCGCATGCCCTCCGCCATGAGCACTGTGTGCACATAAAACTTTGTTTTTCTCGAACTGCCTCACTTTTTTTTCAGTTTGTGAGTTTAAATGTACATTTTCTTAAAAAGTACTAAATCATCTGATGAAACTTTTCATGGACGGGCTACAACGGGTTGAAAACAATCTCAACAAAAAATATTGCTCATTTAAAAACGTGAGGCTCTAATAAATTACAGAGCGGTACAAACCTACTTTAGCTTTGGGAATGCAGTGATTTATTTGAAAGTAACTCCCCGAAGTATGCCCTATTTTTTAGTTAAGGTATAACTCACATGTTTATGCAGCAACATGGCAAATATCATTACGTTCCTTCTAGTGGTAGCAGAGAAAAAGTACACTAAATAATGCAACCCACATTAAAATAATTTGGAAGTAAGCCATAGAAAACATAGCGAAAAAAGCTAAAAAAAGGCCATCAAAGGGAAGCCCCTGGCCATTTTCGTAAGCTACAGATATTTTTTAGAACACTACAAACAACTTGCAAAATATTGCGTTATAACTGACATATACGACCCACTGTGCCATACCCCCTTAGTTTATAGAAATTCGTCTACCCTTACAAGGAATGCCTTCTCCCGCCCCACCCCTTCATTTATTGTTGGAAGTCCATCGTTGCAACCAACAGACGACTCTGGCAACTATGTGGTTGCTTTTGTAGCACATAGAGTTGAAATAATAATTGTAGTTGCAACCTATCTTTCCGGCTCTGCAATGCCGCTCGTTATGTTGCCACTGCGTTACGCCCATGCGCCTTTTGAAATGCCGCAGTGGCTGCGGCATGACCCACTTTGAACAAATCTGTCGTACTTTCTAGCGTAATAAGCCAATTTGGTGAAGGCACTTCGGCAAATCTCTACAATGAGGCCACCATTCCGGCACTACCTTCTAAAAATATTGTTGTGCACATATTTTCTCGTGCTGCAATAAATATTTATAGGACACGTCCTCGAAAGAGCCGAAGAATCGCAATATAATTAGCGTATATATAATGCGAGTTTACTCCTGTTTAGCTCATCAACTACAAACTTTTCTAGTGTAAGCACCAGGCTCCACAAACATGGCTTCCAAAAAATGAAAAATTACTGGTGCGTTGATAAGCACAATGTCGTAGCTTTATTTGGCGCAATGACCTTACAAAATATCGAGCTTTATTGTCGACTCTTTATGTAAATTTTTTACTTATTTACATTATATAAGAAAACACTCGGGCAGAATATGTGAGACGCAAAATGGGCTAGCGATGCACT